CCATGTTACTCCACTCTTTCAGTTGTACACCAGGTCCAGCCATAATCCATCACATGCCGTTCCCACTGCCACCCATTCCATGCTACCTAAGTCTCAAAGTAAAATGACGATTCGGTGACCGAAGAGTTAGTTTTCATACATACACTCCATTGATATATCCAGGGAAAAGAATTACGATAGAAAGGATGTTAAAGTATTTGGGATCTGCATTTGCGGTGGTCAGAATGTAAAAGTATTCTTTCCTCCACTTGGGGGATTTACAGAGCATGCAATAGGAGCTGCGAGTGGAGGTAGGGAGGCCATTTATTGATAGAAGGATTAAGAATCAAAGCAAACCAATCCGTTGAAAAGAACAATAGACAAGGAAATCCAGTCCATGCAATGCTCAAAGATGCAGAACAAGGGGGAGAGTAAGGGAGATAGTGAAAAGGAAAAAAGAGAAAAGAGAAAAAAGAGAAGAGAAAAGAGAAAAGAGAGGGGGTTGGGGTACACGAGGTAACCACGTAAAGCTCCGATTGGAGCGAAGGAAGCTTAGAAAGGGGACAAATGGTAGAATAGTTCGTAAAACAGCAAATGAAGATTACTCAGATCGCGATCATAGCTCGCATCCAAGTATTCCACCACTTGAAGATCACGACTTCTAGTCGAGGCGTTTCAGGAGATAATCAGCAATAGCTACTTTGTTTCGAGAAATGCACTCATCTTACTGCATACAAATTTGGGTCCGGCAAACAGCAAATGAAGGTAGCTTAGAAAGCTCCGATGGGAGCGAAGGAAGCTTAGAAAGGGGATGAAGGATAGAATAGCTCTGCTAGTGCCCTCCTGCTATTGTGCATGCCATGTCACACCGCCGCTAGAGATTCTCGGATAGGTTCCTTCGTCTAATTACAATGATTGCCCATATGCTGGAACCCCCTTTCTATGGCTCCCATGCAATGGCCTTCCCCACCAGCTTTTTTCGGTACAAAGCTATAGTTTATACAAGCAAACGCGAGATTCGCACGGCTAGCGGCGTACTAGGCTAGGCAGAACATCTGGGAATGCAGAACTTGTGGCAGCTCGGCTGTAGTCATGGAAGAACAAACGCAGCAGGAGGGGGGTGGCATCCCCTAAGAGCTTTTTCGCCGTCTCCACTTGTCCGGCTCATCAGAGGGGTTAATTCCTGCAAAAACTGCACAACCATTCACAGAGCAGCACAGACAGCCATGGCCACACACACACATAACGGGGTAGCAGAAACAGGGACCATATACCGCCCCTTCTGCCGCAATCTCCTCATCGAGTTCCAGCCTTAGTGGCAGGTCCTCGTCCGCTCCAGTGGTGAAATCCCAGTCCGCCATATGCAATGACTTGCTGATTTTTGACTGCCGAGACTGACTGCGAGGTTGTACACTAACCGGTAGGGTTAGATTCTTAATTTTGTTTGGCTGAGGGCTAACCGAGAGACCTAACTCTGAGGAAATTCTTGAGGGACATATCTGCAAATTTGGGAAAACATAGCCCTAACACTAACTGAATTTCCTACTACTACCCTAACTGCGAATAGCAGGCCCGGGCTACCCCAAGGACAGACAGGCCCTAAGTGGCCTATACTGATAGACGGTCCTATAGCCTATAGCCGGGTCCGGTAGAGGCCGAAAGGCCGAAACAGAAACGGTACCGGTCGGTCAGTCAGTCCGTTCTAGGTCTAGTGTAGTCTATAGATAGGTTAGGCCCATCGGTTCAGGACTTTTGGCAGTTCATTTCTCGCGAAGCAGCGTGGGAGAAGCCAAGCAAGTTGGTGGCGGTGTCTGTCTGCAGGCGGCATCCTGAGACTTCGCCGTTGACAGCAGCCATAGCCAGCCCAGTCTGAGTCTGCCATAGCTGGGGCATCCTCAGCGCATCTACCTCTGGGGTACCTGCGTCTGGCCGGGCTACATCGAGGCTCTACACTGTGTTCGTGGGTGGTGACAGCCATAGCTGCCTGCTCCTTCGTCAGAGTTGTCCATCGGCACTGAAGACTTCATCGCAGGACCTGTTCTTCATCAGGGTGGTTGGCGCTGGCCCCTGGGAGGCCATTCTGATGTGGCGCTACTAACTGGGTGTAGGATAGAGAGTGGGGTGTGAGTTCTGAGAGTGGCGAGATAACAAACTCTGTTACGATAATTGTTTGAGTGGCTCATCATCAGTGGCATTTCAATTGTTATCCTCGCAGGTTCTACTTGTGATTGGTTGTTGGGAGTTTGTCAGAGAGAGAGAAACACTGTGTGTCTTCTCCCCATCTGTGCATAGCTGTATTCCGCTGCCTACTCTGATCTGTGTGCAGTGTGGACTCTGTCTCCTCTCCCCCTTCTCTTATGCATGTATGGGCGTGTATGAGACTGTCTGTGTGTGAGTGGCAGTAAAAATCGTCAGACAACCAAGTTCATAACACATAGCCAGATAGCACACCCGAACAAATCTCGTAACAATCCAGCAAGTAATAAGGTCGCAAGCAAACAATTCATGTATGTTCCGTTCCGGGTGCGGTATCACTACATATTCGAGGTGGTATACCAGAAAAGAAAAGGAAGCGAAAAGAAAAGGAAGTGAAAAGAAAAGAAAGAAAAAAGAAACGAGAAAACAAGAAAAGAAAAGAAAAGGATAGACGAAAGGGAGAAAAGAGGGGGCGGGGCTTATTCCCGTGGTAGCCAAATTTTTCGGATTCGATTTTGGTGGCACGCTCCAGTAATTTCCCGCTCGGCAAGCTCCGAGTGTATTGGCCAAGTTTTCCGGATAGATGCTTTAATTGGTAGGGTCAGGTCGTCATTATCTGAGGAGGTTGCCAGAGTTCTTATGTTCTGCTTCCGTTGTAGTGATATGTGGATCGGGATATGCTGTTGGGCAGGGCGCAGGTTCATGATATTTCTGTTCCTTTTATTTATGCCAGTTTGCCATCGTTTCCCAGATTTTTCCGATCTGTCACGTTGGCCCGGCAGTTTCACTCACCCATAATGGAATGCACTGTCCATATTGTTCTCTATATTATTCCTGCGTATGGGGGTTTAGTTACCCACGGGTGGGTCTGTGGGCATAGATATGGAAAATATATTCATTGTTGCATTGGTCCCCCAGGGGAGTTCCCATTGTTCAACAGATCCGGATCCCTTATCTCGTGCTTATCCTCCCTTGGTGACTGCTGTGTCCCATGCCTTATTCCCTGCTTACCATCCTTTTACCTTTCTCTTTTACCTCCAGCTGAACTGTTGCTTGAGCTTCTGTTCCACAGATCCGGATCCCTTATCTCGTGCTTATCCTCCCTTGGTGACTGCTGTGTCCCATGCCTTATTCCCTGCTTACCAT